TCTTCATTAAATCCATTAAGCAGAATTAAGCATGTTTCGCCATTCACTTTTAGAATTACAATTTTCCTTGAGCAAATGATTGCAAGGACAGCTCAGTCCGTGACCACCAGAACACTTGACATGAAAGCAAGCCTCACCGACTACCATGCCATGATAAATCTTTCCGATGCTCACCTGCAGAGAGAACCATATATTATTTAAACCATCTAGTAGATCTATTTAACTTAGCATAGGCGCACTGCCGTTCGTTTGTCGTTGAAGTTAAAATGAACTCGAATAACTGATAAAGGGAGTCAAGTGACAACCACATCTAAGGCTAAAAAAAATCAAAAAAATCAGAATGCGAAGAAAGTACAGTGTCAGCATCTTTTATCATGTTTTCATTCCCACCCCAATCTGGGTATTCCAAACAAATACAGGAAAGATCAGCCGTTGACTCCGGCGGTATCGACCGTGTGCCCGATAACAGAATGGGTAGTCAGACGCTGATTTGCGTGTGAGGCAGACTATAATTGGTACAAAGAATGGAAGAAGTTGGTGCCTTCAAGACCGAAGACGAAAGGAAGACGTAACCACGCAGATTACAGCAGACTAAGCCGACCACGGAATACACGCATTCGATTGAGTAGCCAATCAGCGTGCACCGCAGTGTGCGGCCTTTGCTCACGCGTGCTAACCCAATAAGTAGTCTTCCAGAATTTGAGACTTTTCCAAGAGGTGATTCTTGCACAAGAAATAGTTATTCTGAATTAGACACGCCATAGGCCGCAATTTGCTATAAGACACCTTACGAGTAACAGGCTATATGCGGAAATATTCTAGAAGTCTCAGGGTCCCACATAAATAAGACGAGCTTTTTATACCAAAAATATTGAAAGCATTCTCTTTGATCTACACATAGATCTAAAAGGGCAGTGATACTAGAGTGACGTAAAATCCACCATACTATCTCCTCCTCTCCACCCTGTGCAGACAGTCAGTAGGACCGGAGGTGAAATAAAGCGTGAGTTGCTGGCGCTGCATAAACTAACAACTAGATGGACAATCACGCCAACACCTGGGAGCGAAAATATAAACATGCCCATTTTAAGACTAAACTGATACCTGGCAAAACATATTCGGTCCACAGGGCATCAGCAAACGAGGCTTAATCGCTTGGTAGAATGCGTCAGAGACATAACGAAAGAATTTCTTAGGAAACAATATATTCGATGGTGGCTTACGCAATAGTATTGCTGATTAAAGTAGTAATCATTTCCAAAATTACGGGCTTGTTTCGAATTATACGCTTTGGTGTGTTCATTTTTACATTCATTGATACATGCATATATATATATATATAAATTTAAGTCAGAACGGACGAAGACAAAGGGGTCGGGAATGGGAAATAACATAAAAACATCTTGAAAAATATATGCGTGGGAGAGCCGTGCACCGATCGCATAACGAGTCCTTCTGTTGCAACTGTGCCTTGATGCTCTCTCTCAAACCCCGCAAGCAGACCCACAATCACTATTACTTTAAGCAGAATTACATAATTGAGAAAGGCTATGGATACTGGACCGGCTAATCCTGTTTTAGCAGCCTTCATCATCACCCAATCGCTCAATTCCCTGCCGGTTGCTATTGTGTATATGAACAATAGCAGAGGAGTACTCATCGGCGCTAATCGACAGGCCACCGAGACTGTGTTTCAGTAGATAGGGCGTTGAACTTCTATCCGGCGGGCTGCGCATTCAAAGATTAGTAGTTGCAAAACTTGCGGTTGAGTACGGCTGGCTGATGAGGGATAGTAAGTTAGAATTGGCCAGCACAGTCTCCTTGGTCGTTGTCAGTATTTTATTCTGAATATATATATCAAACGGTCAATAACAGCGATGCTAAGGTGACTGCACACAATGAAAAAAAAAGATATATTTTATTTGCTGGAGGCTGTGTCTCACCGGTGTTTTGAACATTCCTTTGAATCCCTAATCAGGGATGAATTAAACTAGACAGATCACCTAAATTGCCAACTACTCCGTTATAGGCGAGCTTCCTAGGCCACATTGATTTGTTCTGCCAATGCTTTGTACTAAACGGCAAAGCTAGAGCTCAGTCGTCAGGCGGATGCCACGCTCCTAGTAGTTGTTACGATTTGGATGCCTGGGCTGCTGCCAGAGTCAGATTTTCTTTGCGACTAACAAGATATTCGTGTTCTTATACATTTGATTACATTTAATCACTAAGTTCATTCGCGATTCCGGCTTTTTTTCTTCAACTGCAATCCACCGGTGAGTGCTTCTATTAACCTGTTGACACTTTCTGCACGCAAATGTGTAAAGTGTATAGTAATCAACCCCATTGCAAAAACTGCTGCCATCTTCCTTTAAGGATAAGTTGAATAACAGACTTCTGATTCAATACCGTTAGCCTTAGGACATAGTAAATTTTCAGAGGTATTGCACATTCACTAGCACACTTCTCTTTGCAGGTCATTTACATTCTTGGGCATTTTCTTGGACTGGGTCTGGTGTCGGCTTGCGACACATTATTCTCTCAGCTCTATGGCAGTCCAAGTCGGCACCGAGTTGGTATGGTTCTTCAAAAGAGTAAGTTAACGAGTAAACCAGCAATTAAACAGTCCTTCCTCCTGAACGCTACTTCAGAGATTGCCAAACCCTTGCAAGTTTCTTCCCCGCACTTATATTAAAATAAATATGTACCGTCAGTCCACGTTTGATCACTAATCAGTTACTAAGGCCCAAATCATCTTTTCAACCCTCAGAAACTAATTGCCGATCCAGGCGGCCAGTATCTTCTAAGGCTGATCAGCTTACTGATCAACTTTTGTTTCTTTCGCCACCCTGATAACCACACGATTTTTGTCTACCAAACAGCATACTTTGATTGGGTAAATAAAGATAGAGATTAGAAGTCTGAGAACAATTACTTGAGAGCCAAAGCTTGCTCGCCAATCCATCTTTTACATTTTTAAATTGGACTTTTTGTATCTGTATATACACGATTGCTAACAAAGATGGATAGTTCTCAGATCACAATTTACACAACTTTCTTTTGCTTTGGTGAATGTATGCGTTTGATACGTGCCGAATTAAAATCACATTTAACTGCCCTTTCCTTAGTCGATCATTCCAGTCACCGAGTTTACGAGAAATCTCCCGAATCTCAGAAGTCTAGCATAATATTTCAGTTACCCGGGGCATTCCCCTTATACGTGGAGCTTGTGTGGTTTAAATCCGCTAGTCAAGAGGAAAGCAGCTGCAGACAAAATAGCAGTGTTGGGTGCTTCTTAGAGGCGCAAACTTGTTGCATGCTATAAGGCGAATGGGACGCCTAAAAATATGGAAACAGGACAGAAGAATTAATCGACATAGGTCTCTGAGTACACTGCATTGCCTAGCGTGGTTGCTCCTTCTATGGTTCAAATCACGTGCTAGTACAATGAAATTGCCCTTATTAAAGTGCGGTGCCCTTATATGTCGAAACATACTGTTCTGCAAATTCGTAAGTTTCACTCACGGCCACCTGGACTTCAGTGCTCAAAATTCGACGAAAGTAAACTGAACGCTTTTGCCTACCATACTACAGGCCTGTTTAGCTTATTTGCTTTAAATTCGAGCCTTAAGAACGGACATTGTAGCAGAATAAGATAGTAGGACAGCGGCATCGAGATGTATTCACTTATAAATGCGCAGCGCTGATTTCGAAAAGAACAATTTATCTACTGTTTTTCTTTTTGCCTCCGACACGTGCGCAGGACACCTTGAACTAACTAGTAGACAATCCTAAAAACGCCAGCCACTAAGAGGGCCGTTAGGAATAGACAAAACAAGTGGATTTGAAATAAAAATGCCCAGTGCTGCGCTGTTATTACGGACGATGGATGGGCTTAATATAATCATAATCTACACGTGGACAAATATTATTAACTGCGGTTGGAGAGGCCAGCGAACCATGATAACCTTTATTTGATCTAGAATACCTTTCGCTGCTAAATTGAATCAGGAGGGGGGGGGGTTACTTCCACCTTACTGTTAAATTCGTCATTTGTGAGTGTTACCAAAGCCTATCGCGTGTTCAGATTTCTTTGTATCTAGCAAATTATGACCCCATCTGAACGGAGTAAGTACTTTTCGTTTGCGATGCTTACGTTATGTCCCACGCGAGTTCGGCGTTAATTACTCTTTCATACTGCCAGTGAATGATACCAAGTGTACATTTACTGTCCAGCGATTAATCAAACAGTCTTCGTTGCACTTCTGAATATAAAACAAGAGTCGTTCTTTCTTGTGAGCGTTTAAAATACGTTTCGAAAGTAAAGGCATTTGTCTCAGGACAATTAAAATGCCGGAGAATAATGAGGGTGCTGTTGGATAGGAACAACAGCGTGGTTTGAAATCCACCCTTGCGTGTCTCTTATCCACTGAACAAAGTCCAGCGTTGGTTTTGAAAAGAGTCTTCTCATCACTGCCGATAGGAGCGAATATGCGAGGAAGCAGTTCAGAAGAAGAAGATGCGATAACTGGAACAAGAATTTTATTTTCCAGACGTTTCGGACTCTGTCGAGAATCGTTGATCAGAGGTTACCGTAGGATAGTGTGAGACATGCACATTTGGGACTGATAATGCACAGATTGCACAATTTTTATAATTTGTAGCAGTCATCCGTATGCGTACTATAATTATCAACTCCTGTAACCACCGCTTGGTGTCGTAATTGGTGCGGTAATGGCTTGATACTTAGCGTTCGACTCATTAATGGCCGCGATTTCGTTGTCTGCGTCGGATGCAGGCTTGATAGTTGCGCGACAATTATGCTCGCTGTCGTCAGAGTTGTTGTTGCTGTGGCCGCCCCTTCCCACGTGACTGATTCTCTCGCTTAGGCCCTGTCTCAGTAAGCAGTATAGGAACGCCAAATCGTGGCTCTTTTTGCTGGATTGGGGGCCTAGGAACCATGACTCGAGCAGCTCGCGGTTCATGCGGTTGTCCCGCTTACCTCGTTAAGCTTGAAAATATGGCCGGGACCCGTTGAATGGGTGATAACCTGGGAATTAGCGTCTTTTTTCTTCATCGCCGCTGCGTGCTGGGCCATCCGCGTCCGGGGTAATCTCCCGGTTTCTCCGAGGTAGTTGCTCTGTCCACAACTGCACCAGATCTTGTAAACGATTCCAGCCGTTTCCTGCCGTGGTAGTGGGTCCCCACGGACACAAACCATGACAAACCTAAAAACACTAGCCACACACTGCCCAGTAATTCGTTGCCGTTAAAATAGATGCATTTACTTATAGAACCATAATCTTTACGTGGAAAAATACTATTAGCTTTGATGCCGTCGCCATCTGGCGGTTGCGGATGTCAACGGGGTACTTTAACGCACATTTTACCTTAGAATACTTCGCGATGTAAGGTTTGCATTCGTCTTGCCGCCAAATTCAATCATGACAGGTGTTTTCCTTTTACTTGATTATTGCGTTCACCGTATGTGAGTGTTGTCAAAGGTTATGGCGTGTTCAGATATCTTTGTCTTTGGTAACTTTAGCCCCGTCTGAACGGAATAAGTACTTTTCACTTGCTCTGCATACGGTATATGCCACGTGAGTTTGTTGGTGATCACTCTTCCATACTGCCAGCGAATGAGACCAAGAGTACAGTGAGTGATCAAACCGTCCTTGTTGCACTTCTGAAAATGCAACAAGAATCGTTATCTGTTGTGAGCGTTTCATATATGTTTACAAAATAAAACCTTTGTCTCAGGATACGTTAAGCGCGGAGGAATGGTAAGAGTGCTGTTGTATACGAACAACAGCGAGGTTTTAAATCTACATTTGCTTTTGCTTATCCAAAAAATTGTCTGCTGTCTTGTGTGTGACCGCTGATCATTGAGTTCACTGGAATATGTGATTCCTGAATGATTGGAGAGCCACCACTGAATACTTGCTACCCATACACTTGAAGGAGTTTGATCGCGCACTGCGGACCGTCTTTGTCGGCAAAAGCCGACAGCGTTACAACAGTATCAAATAAAAATTCTTGAACAACGGAATGCAGGCTGTGATTGTATGGTATGACAAGTGGACAAATTCCGCCAGTAAATCTCTAGTAACGCTGTATAAACTAGAAGAACTGTTTTTTGTCGCAAGTGCAGGATATGCACAAATACTTAAGTATTACCGACAAAAACACGGGACTCTAGGAGGGACATTTATAGTTCATTAACCGTCGTCAGCTAGAGGTACCCAACTCCATTGTTGCCACTAAAATTGCTGCCCCACTTGCGTTTCGAACCCGCGTCTCTCCGGTCAGAGGCTAACGTCCTAACCATTGAGCTACGGGTTCGCTGTCTTGTCGGTTTTATATTGGGAGTATAAAGTAGTGGATAATCGTACACCGATCCTTTGCAGGATTTACCCATCCTATTTGAGGCCATCGCAAGTTTCCACAAATATTTATAAACCTGTTAGACAAAGTTCTAGACGAGCAGACAAAAAAGATGGAAAGGGTCCTCAAATACTGTCCTCTTTTAATATACTTTGACGTTCAAAGATCATTTTCTGAGTAAGGCGAGAATACGCTCGCCTCTCAACAAAGAGGTCCCAGAAACCTCGTGGGCCTGCGGAAGGTAATCTCATGAATAACCCAACACCCAACTCTAGATAGGCCATCCAACTTTAACTTGTGGCAGTAACCAGACGCCGAAACCCTCGGTGCACACATAAACCTTGGTAGCAAGTGATACCACAGTCTACCAATTATTCTGCCATGACGGCAAAAGTAGCTTATGTAGTCCCCCTCATAAACCCTAGTCCCAGCATTTTGTCCTACGAAAATGACGGTTATAGGGTTGTGAGGGGTGCGGAAATAGGATAGGCAGAGAAGAATACTTTTAGAAGTAAGTGTGAAGTGAAAAATGTAGTCAAAGTTGTTTCCGCGGCCGCTGGGAGTCAGTTGTTCCGAATGTAAATTACATGCTAATCTAATGCCAGACCGGTAAGTTAGACCTCAGGTAACTTGAAGTAGACGACTTCCTAACCACCATTTCTATTTTGCTGGAATTTCAAGAAACCTGCAATTTGATGATCGGGTTTTTCCGCAATAGGTTAAACGATAATACAGATTAGGAAAATCTAC